GCTCCCACTCCGGGCCCCACAACAACTCCAATTCCCAGGATTCCATAGGCTCCCATTCCGGGCCCCATAACCAACTCCAATTCCCAGGATTCCATAGGCTCCCACTCCGGGCCCCACAACAACTCCAATTCCCAGGATTCCATAGCCTTCTGCTCTTGGCCCCACAAAAAACTCCAATCCTCAAAATTCCATAGCCTTGAGCCAAGTCTCTTACAGCGGTGCCACACCGGGTTATTTATCCTAGTAGGCCCCCTCCATTAGTCAAGCCAAGTGATCCGTATTAACTACAATACTGTGTCTGGTCCTTTTCCATTTATGGTTGAAGGATATGAACAGAAAGAGCTTATTCACCACCTGCAAAACAAAGCCATGCCTATGTGCCTTGAGTTTGTTTTATACTTGGACTAACTTAGACCCAGGCCTTTCGGAGAGGCAAAGACATCTGGCTTTGAAAAAGAATTCAAAAGATATAGCTGTGTTAGTCTGTGGAATAGAGAAAGCTCTTGTAGCACCTTTGAGACTGAAAGAAAGAAGTTGGCAGTATGAGCTTTTGTAGACTTCTATCTACTTCCTCAGATGCATATAGTGGGATTCATCACTTTATGCATCTGAGGAAGCAGACTTTAGGAAAGCTCATGCTGCCACGTTCTTTAGTCTCAAAGGTACTACAAGATCTCTCTACATCTTTGAAAAAGATTCATGTTCATAATTAAAAAACAATCTGAAATAGAAAAAATGTGTGGTTTTGATCATTGTTTTACTATTTGGTCTTCCCCCCCCCCCTCTCTCTCTCTCTCTCTGTGTGTGTGTGTGTATATATATATATATATAGTCATCTGTTAATATTCTTTTTTGATATTAGTCTACAAAATTCAGAAACTGCTCATATTGTGAGTGACCTTCAAAGCTCAGAGCCAAAGGCAGTCTTTGTTTAATGCATACAAGTGTACGACGCACTCAGAAATGTTAGTTATGGACTTTGTTAGGAATGCTGGAGGTGGGAATTCAGTTTTAATTCTGCTATAGACTTTCCATTTGGACTTGAACTACTTAAATCTCATTGTCTCAGTTCCCCGTTTGTAGAATGAGCACATATCTATTCTCCCTATCCAGAAATATATCTTTTCTTTCAGCATTGTTTGGTTAAATCTTGGCTTGCTGCTTCCAGGGCTTTGGAGAGTGAGTTGGCTCAGGCTTCTGGATGCCATTCATATGCAAACATTGTGCGTGCCAGAAGGCGTGATCTTCTCATTTGTCCGTTTAGAAAGCCGAAATTTGTACACATGATTTTCTTTAACCAGTCAGTACTATCTGTTGCTTGGATGTTGAAGATTGGCCAAAGAATTCACCATGAGATTCTCCAAACAAAAGTTTCAAAAAGTTGACCATAAAGGTTCTAATAACTACCTTTGGGATGAAATTGTGACCTGCTTGTGTTTCTGAATTGAGAAACTATTTTCTTAGATCACTTTGAGGCTCCAGCAATTCTCTTCAATGCAAATCAAAAGCAGTGGTTTCTTTCTTTCCTCAGAATTTCCATCTCCTTGGCCAGCTTCTAGTTTAATGAGTTGTTTTCGCAAAATATCTGGTGTTGTCCTTCATAGTTGTTTCTGACTTAAAGTGATCCTAAGGCAAAAACCTATCATGGAGTTTTGTTTATAAGAGGTTTGCATTTGCCTTCCGCTGAAGCTGAGAGCATGTGACTTGCTCAAGGTCGCCCAGTGGGTTTTCATGGCCAAGCAGGGATTCAAACCCTGTCTTTCACAGTCATAGGACCTTATCCCACGGGGCCAAAAGCAGCAAGAATCCACTAAGAATCAGGCGCTATAGCGCTATACATTCCCGGGTGATCACACGACGTCGCTCAGAATCGGCTAAGAATCAGGCGCTATAGCGCTATAGTTTTCCGGGTGATCACACGACATCGCTCAGAATCCGCTAAGAATCAGGCGCTATAGCGCTATAGTTTTCTGGGTGATTACACGACGTCGCTCAGAATCCAACAAGAAACCGCTCGGAATGCAGCATCATTCGGGTTCTTTTGAATGTCGGTTTCAGCGGGCATTGCAATAGCGCTAGCTTATCCATAGCGCTATTATAGCGCTAGCGCCATATTTATACTAGCACTATAGTACTGCAATGATGCTCATATCGCTTTCTTGCCACTTTTGAGAGCAGCGTGGGATAAGGTCCATAGTCCAGTGCTCAAACCACTATATCACTCTGACTCTCCTTTTCCCAATATTATGCCACCTTTCTTGTAATGTTCAGTAGTTAAATCTCAGTTTGTTTGGAGAAAAGCCAAACTTCAGCATACAGGGCTGTGGTATGCGTGTATAATCTCAGATACTTGAGGAATACAAATCTGGTTCTTGGGAATTGTAACGTTTTCTTCATTTATAAATAAATGTGAAAACATTTTCCTATCTGAGATGTTAATTTTTTTTTATGTAACATCTTAGTCAGCTACTTGGATAAACTACATGTGGCCTTCTAAATGTTGTTGAACTGCAGCTTTCACCATCCTTCATCTTTGACTCTGTTGACTACAGATGGTAGGGGCTGCAGTCCAACAACATCACAATAAGTTGTCCAAAACAGTTGATTTGAGAGACAGGGATCAACATATCTTTAGTTTCACTTTCTTTGGTGGTTGGTAAATTCTGAACTGAAATATTATAGCAATAGCAAGTACATTTCTATACCACTTATCAGTGCACTTAAGCACTCCCTAAGTGGTTTATAATGGGTAAGCCAGTTGCCCCCAACAACCTGTACTCATTTTGGTGATCTTGGAAGGATGCCAGGCTGTGTCAACCTGGAGCCCTGGCTGGTATTGAACTCACAACCTTGTGGTTTGTGCATGAGTGGCTGCAGTACAGGCATTTAACCCATGCACCACCAGGGCTTTTCAATATTCTTACCTGTCTTGTCATACCACAGGAACTAAGCTACCTATCATTGATTTTTGTTACTGACTGTTGAGCCAGTTTGTGTATATCTGTGTACCTGCATTACCTCCTTGGCCTCAGAGGGAGAGAGGCAGACCAGGTCCATTGGGCCTAGTCTATATTAAGAAAGTGAACTCTCCTTTCCATCCACCTGTCATAGTCCAGGAGGGAGAGAAAAATGGATGGACCTGATCTCCTTCCCCACTACCATTCCCTTCTCCCTTGGTGTCATTTTTAGATTGTAAGCCTGAGTGCAGGGA